TCTCTACCTGCTCGCCAGCCTCGGGCGCCTTCCCCGCGACCTGTGCACGTACCGCTCTGGAGCCATGACCGTGCGCGCACACACACTCACTCGCACACTCACACTCACACTCACTCACACACACTCTCATCCCGCGCACCAAATGAGAGAGTTAAACGGGGCTCAGCCGATACCTCCCCCCGTGAGAAGCAGCATGTTGCCTCCCCACCTTCTGCTATTGAACGTGGGTGGGTCTCGGCCGCTAATTACAGACGTAGAAATATTGCAAGTATCAGCCACAGATAGCACTCCAAAGGCACTTAGCTTTCTTTTTTCTTTCTTTTTTTTTTAATAAAAATGTTTATTTCCCTGAGACCTCCTCTTCTCTGAAAGTAAAGCAGTCCCTACTCCGGCCAAAAATTGCTCTCCGCTTCAAAACGTGGCATGCAGATGTGCAAGTGTGCGTACGTTTCAGGAAGACTATACGTCTCCTGCCTATCCTCGGCCCAGAAAAAAGCAGCCAGTTCCGAAAATACCGTTAAATAAAAGAGGAAGGGGCGATGGAGCAGGCGCCGGCATGAGCAGACCCTGGCAGTCCTCCCTCCCCGCCCCCATGGCACGGCTCCTTTCCCACGCCGGTCAGTGCTGGGTGCAGCCTGCCCGGGCACCCAAATGCTTGCACCTTCCAACCACAAGCGACAGGAGCAATTGAATGAGCTCTAGAAATCCTTCCCTCTCCCTTTTGGAGACTACTTCCCCATCCCCAGCCCTATCGAAGCTTCTTCAGAAAGAGTAATGAACTTTTCCCCCTTATCTCCGCACACAGACTTCCAGGCACTCCTTTATGCATCACGCACCCGACTCTCTTAGCTGCTACGTTTCCCTCCGTTTTCCTGCAAGGACAGAAACAGTGCACCCTCCAACATCCAGGCCAGCAGCTGTGTCTGCAAGGGTTAAACTGGGCAATAAAGCAGGTGCAGCGTCTGCTGCAAACGGTAATAAAATGCGATGAATGAGCAGCGGAATGCTGAAGGCTGTGGGAGGGGGACTGTGGTGCGCCTTGTAACTTAGTGCCTAGAGCTGAGACTAACATGCTGAACGGATGCGGTCAGATAAGGCTTGACGCTTCGCAATTTCTTCGAGTTCAGAAAGTGGAGCGAGCAAAGCGACTGAAAGGCTGAGAAGCAAGGCAATTGAAAGGCTGGTGAGGTTTTCTTGTTTCTGTTTGTTTTGTTTGTTTGTTTGTTTTTAAAGTGTCCATTAGTTGAAAGCAAACAACCCGAAATAAAGCCTACTCACCAGGTGAAATTTCAGGAAGCGAGGCGGCTGTGAGCAAAGCGCATCCCGAATCCAAACGTGCGGTCCATGATCCTCGGCTTCAAGCTAGAGGAGGGATTTGCACGGTGGTGGGACTTTGGGAATCAGCAGCAGTTCCTTGTGGCACAGCAGCAAGCGCCAGGAGCCACCCGCACGGTGCGCGGCTCTGAGTGCGTGTGCGTGTGTAGGGGAGAGAGAGGCAC